GTAATGAATTTTTAGATTACTTAAAAGAGAATATGATTCTTTATCAATGGAATTTACCTAGAACACCATAATTGAATGTTGTGTCCAAATAAGGATAAGGAAACTATTAGACATGGTTCAATCCATGATGAGTAGAACCGATATTGCTATGTAATTTTTATTTTAAATACTCGTTTCAACAAAGTCTATTGATCAAACACCATATGAGATATGGAAAGGAAAGAAAGTAAATTTATATTTTCTTAAGATTTGAGGGTGTGTGGCATATGTCAAACATTTAAACAAAGACAAGCTCAAGCCTAAATAAACAAAGTACAAATTCATGGGATATTCGAAAGATACCGATGAATATTACTATTTTCTACCACTAGAACAAAATATTATTCATGATTAGACATGTTATATTCCCGAGAAGGAATTTATAAATGTTAGAAACAATGAGAGGAAGGTTGAACTTAATAAGATTCGAGTAAACTCATAAATTGACACTTCACTAGTGGAACCCCAAGTAGTAAGTTTACAAAGTATTATAACTACCCCACAAATAGATACATAAGAACTTTACAAGTTTAAACGAGTTCATCAAAGAGTAAAAAAGGATATAATTTTCTTGTCTCAATGTATGGTGACGTGTATCTTATAGAGGATGAAGAAGCTAATACATATGAAGAGGTAATATTAGACATTAACTCCTAAAGATGAAAAATGGATGAAAAAACCATTTTTCTTTATGAAAAATTGAATAAAGATATGTAAATGACATACTCTAATGATTCTATCACCAAAGAACATGCAAATAAGATTTGAAAATTACAAAGGTCGATTTATGGACTTGAGCTTGCTTTTAGGAATTAAAATCAATGTTTTGATAAAATGATCAAAGAGTTTGACTTCTCACAAAACAAAGATGAACCTTATATGTGCAAAAGGTTAGTGGGAACTTAATAGTCTTTGTTGTGTTATATGAAGACAACAAACTACTTTTCAGCTATAACATTATCATATCGCAATCTATAAATGATTTGGATATTTAAAAATTTCTTTATGTAAGACATGAGAGGGCAGACCTACATTATGGGAGTTTAGATCTATAAAGATAGATCACGTAAAATGTTAGGGCTATCCCAAAATAAGTTAATTGATATGATACTAAAAGGTTTAGTATATAAGAATGAAAGAAAGATTTATTTCAATGTCACATGGCTTGATGATTGACTACAAAGCATCTATAGCAAAAGTTAAGGAACCAAGGTCTCATAAAAAATCCAAGCATATACTACAACATTACCACTCGATTAAAGAGATTATCAATCATCATGATATAAGGGGTCTGGTTAGCTTTAGTCTAAGTGAAAGATTGTTAGTATATGTATCTAATATCCAACATTGTTTGAATGATTTGATATATTGTAACATTATATTTTAATATTAATAAAGAATTTTTTCTATTAATTTTTGTTATTTATAATATGATAGAATTAGATAGAAGTTCATATGATATACATTACATTAATGATTGATTGAAAGATGTGAGATAAATATCAATACATTTAAAAGATATCATTAAAGACATGACTAGTTAGCTTTAGTACAAATGGAAGATTCTTAGTGTAGGTGTCTAATATCCAACCTTATTTGGATGGTTTGATATATTGTAACATTATATTTTAATATTGATGAAGAAGTTTTTCTATTAATTCTTGTTATTTATAATTTGATAGAATTAAATATAAGTCCATATGATATGCATTGCATTAATGATTGATCAAAAGATATAAGACAAATATCAATGCATTAAAATGACATCATTAAATATCCTAAGTCATAACATTATTAAGAATGGATATTAACTATATGTGATAAGACTTATGAGTGCTATACTCATGCTATAAGATAGTAGTAGGAGACCTCACACTTATTGGTATGGTGACCCCAAAGCAAATACTTAGGTGATTAATGTTAGAGAACATATCATTGGGCGTAACTCACCATAAGAACTCATTTGGTTTAATCTATGAGAATCTCATACGAGATGGGTACAATTGGTCCTTTAACTTAAAGTCATCGTAGTTATTTCATTAGAGGATTAATTTACTTTAACACTCGTTTTGATGAACTCAATCAATAGTTATATGTAGGGATTCGTTGGGTGCACTAGAAATCTAATGTAGATAGGTGGATGATTGAGATAGGACATGTTATTTCTTATATGCTCGAAGTAGTTATCGTATTGCACTTCGATGAATATCTACTAAAGGAATCCGTGACTATAGTGAGAGTATACCAATGAAGCATAGTTGGTTTATTCTAGAGCTAAGATGTTTAAAAATCGAATAAAACTTGTGTGATCATAATTAAATAGACAATGAACCAAATTCGAGATCACAATGTGATAAATTGACATGTGGATTGAATTGTATGGTAACCATGCTCATGAAAGGTAATTGTGAATTAATTAATCCTCCTAGAGAATTAGATAGTCATGATGCCTTACTAGAGGCCAATTTTGATTTATGTATTGATAGATAAAAGATGTGTATTTTATTCTTGATACATTGTCAATATATATAGGAGTCTATTAAGTGACACACATAAGTTTAAACATTTAGACAATAAAAGAGAAGCATTGATTTTGGAAAAGGTTTCCTATTTTAAAAGTTTCTTGTTTTGAAAAAGTTTCCTAAAATGAAAAGTTTCCTATTTCAAAAATTATTTCCAAATTTGGAAGCCGGTTACCTCCTAAAAATATCTAATCTAAATTAATTAGTAATTACTTGAGCCAAAAGAGTTTGGACCAATATACTTAATTTAAAAGCCTACAAGATATTTTGATAGAAAGATAAACTTAAGTACTATTAGATAAGGCTTAGGGTTTGCAACGATAAGGTTAGACAAAGTCGACAGAGGCAACATCTCATTGACTTATAAGGAGAAATTGCCACCCCTTTATAAATAAAGGAGAGAAAAGCAGTATTAGAAAGCAATTAAGGCAATCAAAAAAGAGAATCATGGTAAAAAGAAAAGAAAATAAAAAAGAGTTTTCTCTCACCAAACCGACCAGTTATCTCTCTTTATTTTCTAGAATTGGCTTAAATTACCCTATATGATTTCTAGAGAAAAATAAACTACATAGAAGGATTGGAGCTAGCACTTTAGGATTTCGTTACTTCTTGTGTGGGTGTTTGAGGTGCGTGGATAATTAATAGAGGTCGGACGAGTTAGATAGTTTTCTTTTCACTTGAATTATTTACGTGTTACAAGAGGTAATCATTCACCTATATTTATATCCATGTATATGTATGATTAGTTGATTTAACCATAAGATCTTGAGAACCCTAGATGGAGAAAATTTGTTTTTTTATTTTGCACCTCCATAGGATGCATGATTCTTCACTATCTCCCACCCGATCGAACCCTCTTCCGGATCGAAAAATATTATGTAAAGTTCTTTTTAGTACCTTTGTAACTAGCATGTGATCTTCTTAAACTCATCTTAGGTGCATGGATGATAGTCGGTATAACCAAATAATCAAATACATTAGTGAGAATTTATTTGTGGAGAAATGTCGGTTAGGAAACAAAACATGTTGTGAGTTTGTATAATAATGATGAAGAGAGGATGTTGTGGGTTACGCATAAGTCCCAAGTCCGACTAGGCCCTACTCTTGTCTAGCTAGAACATTCTTTCTCAAAATGTTGCCAATCATACCCCGATTAATGCACACCGTGCAACAAATTCCATGCCTTAAATTAAACAAACACAAAAGAGTGATAAATAACAATTTTTATTAATATAATTGTGGACACGAGTCTCTATTAAGTATTCATTAAAAAAAAATAATTTTTTCAAAATATAAGTTGAGATTTTCTATTTTATGAAACCATGAGATTTTGAATATGTTTTATCAAAGCAACGACTTAAAAATTTGAAATGTAATGTGAAAATGCCATTGTGTTGTTTTCAAAGTATTGTTAATGAAATTGCCTTAAAGTATTGTTGATGAAATTCTAAGTGCATTAGGCTTATTCGAGTGTAGTTACATTCCTTGAATAATGTTTGGCAGCGCCTCTCTATTTGAAATTTTTTTTTTAAAAAAAAATGAGAGTAAAAACCTTTATTTATAGAGTTTTAGAGAGTCGAGTTATTTGATATTATCTCGCAACACAATTTAATTAGTTATTTTTTTTTTATTATGAAATCTTGTATTAATTACATAATATTTTAATTAATGATAAATTTTGTATTTTACGTTTCAATCTATAATTAGTCATTACATATATGAATGTCTATTTATTGTGGCATCATCTATTTTTATTTTAGTATAAAATAAAATAAATAACACGTGAAAACTTGTTGTTGATTGAATTGTTTTCATAAAAAGATGAGATGAATTTTACATCCCCATTCCCAAGGAAGGGATGAAAAAAACAATATTTCAACATTTTGACCACCGTTAACATTATTTGTTTGACAAAAATAATATACCAAAAATAATGCATCTTGTCCCATTATTGGTGACTAACTTGATATAGTGCACAAAAAAAAAAAAAAAAAAAAAGAAGGAAAAAGAAAAAAGAAAACCCCTTGGTTCCACAAATTTATAAGGGTATTTTTGTAAGCTTTCATGGATCGACATTAAGCATGCTTAAAGATTAAAGAATTTATGAAAATTTTACTTTATAATCTGAGAATAATTAAGTTTATTCTGCGGTTTAGTCCCAAAAGGCTATCCACTCTGAAACTATGAACAGATTATTTCGTACGAGCATAAATTGGTGCAGGTTGCATTTGATCGTTGAAGATTACCAGGCCCAGGCCTGATAATTAACATCTAAGCCCTTTAATTTGGCGGCCCAATACCATGTTTTGAACCGAGCGTTTCAGCAACTCCGAAAGAGCAGACAGTTGACTCAGCCGCTGAGCGGGGGCACAGCTTATCTATTGAAGGGAAAAATATCGTAAACGAGTAAACAGAATCATCTTCTTCTTCTCTTACAAAATGATTTCGGTTCGAACCGTTAACAGCTGCTCTATATTTCGCTCGTCACCTCCCCTCTCTTCCTTTCGCTGCCGTTCCAATAGCCATTTCGGGACCTCCTCTTCCTTACATTATGACCGCTACTCCAAATCAGGCTTTGGCTTCCCTATATTCCGGTTCGGCCTTCCAATTCTGGGTCATAGCGATGCACGGAGCTGCTCCCTTCACAGTTTCATCGATATGGTCTTGGAAGAGCTGGCTGCTTATCGCAAAGGCAGACGCTTACGCGTTTGCTCTGCTATCAAGTTCCGTCTCATTCCGACCAACCTGTTTAATTATGTGATTTTAATTTTATTATTTCAGAAAAAAATATCTTTAATTATTATGTGGTTTTGATGTGGATAGCATAGCATATAATGAAAATATAATTGAAAAAAAAACGATAATCACCATTACTGAGCAGATTAACGACGGCTGGAGAGGTTTTAGATGATAAGCTAGCGAACAAAGCGGTGCAGAAAGGATTTTTAGTGGAGTTCAAGAAGGATTCAGACAGAGTGTTGCTGGCGGTGGTGCAGAGACGTGATGGAAAGAAGAATTGGATGGTGTACGATCAGGTTCAAGTAGAAACATAACTAAATGCGGCTGCTAGGGGTTACCTGTTTTTTATATGCTTAATTTAAACTAAATTAAAATAAATGACGGATTATTGTGCTTTCTCTGTGTAGTTTAGAATGGTGTTACTTCTTCAATTAAACCCCAACAGATTACTTATATTGTTCCGGGTGTTGAGAATTTTGACCAAACCCAAATCTCAAGCTTTATTCGGAAAGCTCAGGATAACTTGGTTAGTTCTTCTTGCACATTGTTTTGTCGATATCTTGTTTTTCTTCTTCTTCTTTTTTTAAGATAAATTTGTTATTATGTTTTAATGTGATGCAGGACCCCTCATTGCTTGAGTTTGCTTGGATTGAGCTTCATGAAAAGAATAAGTCAGTTACGCCTGAAGAATTAGCTGAGGTACTCTCCAATATTTCCTATTTTATTTTTTCACAGCTTTGGGTCTCATTTGCTCCTCTAATGCTGCTTCTGGCCTAATTTAATATGCAGATGATTTTTGGTAGTGTAGAGCCTCTTGAATGTTATTGTGCCCATCTCTTGCTATCAAAGGATGAAATATATTTCACTGTGCTGGAGACAAAAGGTTCTCGCTCTCTTTATGGGCCTCGATCTACCATGCAGGTGGATGTATTTTTTATATTTTGTTATTGACAATAAATAATTAATTTTATTCCATAGAGGCATAAATTCTTTCTAGCTTTGATTTAGAGATTTTATATGTTATAGTTTGTTTCAAGCTACTGTGCACATTGAGAGCTGACTACGATAGATATCTTGTGCCTATTGGGCTAGGGATGGGTCTTGCAGTCAAGCTCCCTCTTGGCTTTGCACTCGAGGGCCAATCTCTTTCTGGCCTGAGGAAAGTTTTGAACGCCTCCATTACCATTTGGGAGGCCTATGCCCCATAGACACCACATTTCACTAAAATCATTAGCGTTTGAAGGAATTCAAAGTTGAAAAAAAAAATCCTTCTGAAACTCGAAGAATGAGGGGGAAAGGGATTGATCAAAAAGAGAAGCCAGCATCTATGAAGGATTCAAACTGCTAGCATCTGAACAGTTGCATATTCTGGTTTTTGGTGCGGTTAAAAATAATCTATCATGAATCATGGTAGAACCATATCTTATTTTCATTGCTTCCATAGTAGGAACTCCACAGTGCCTATAATGTAAAAAATCCAGTAACTATATGTTATTACTTTTTTCTTTAATTGGATCATATATTACTAAGGCACTTGTTCCTACAGGATTGTGTTAATTTATGAGTGGTCTAAAGCTTTTTCTATTTTGGCCATCTCAAAATCAGTTGAAACTTGCAGAGGCATTTGTGTGGAATTGGATTAGGCCTTTAAGGATGAGAACAGGCTTTTCTATGTTTGTCTTGTTTAACTGAAACCTAGTTCATTTTTATCTTCTTTTTTGTGTACTCCTGCATCTTGCTGGTGGTTTCAGTATTGCTAGTAAATAAGTTTAGACTTTAAAGTAGATTTATGACCAGTGCAAGGTTTTTTTTTTTTATCAGTTCACTGTTCGTAAATTCAATGTCTTGACTTTCTTTCTATTTTATGATAAATGAAATTCCATTTGTTTCAAAAACTAGGTAGATGAACTTATGAATAGGAAGCTTGCAAAGGAAGCTGCTGAGAAAGAACTTCAGGAGTTTGTACAACTACTAACATCTGCTAAGGCAATGCCTTCTAATGCGAAACCCCCAAATCTTCATGGATGGCTGAAGAGAAAATCCAATGCAAAATTGAGTCTCTTGAAGCATTTGCCATTGATGCATACAAAAGCGATGACCAGAAAAGAATTGCGAGGATGGTAATCTTTTTTAACTTCACCAAGTTTACTAGGCTGAACAAGATGAAACCTCCAACAAAATACTTTAGGCAGCATTAGTTTCATGAAAAGATTGAAAGAAAACATGATGTTTCTTCATTGCTGCTTGTTTTTTGCTTAAGTATTTAACATAGGCTAATGCCCTCTTGATTTTTGGCTATTCTGCATGTGATTTTTCCTTTTTTGGGTCAGATCCTCAAGGCAATGGGAATGGCAAAAACAGCATCCGCTGCTTTAAACCTCCTCATAGATGTTGGATACTTTCCTGTCCATGTGAATCTTGATATGTTGAAGCTCAACATTCATACTGATCATCCAGATGAGATCGTATCAGCTGCTGAAGACCTTCTAACAGAGCTGGTTGACCCCGACAAGGCAGGCTTGCTTCACTTTTAGTTGTTTTATATGTCAAGTTTTTAAGAAGGGATACAAGCCCTTTGCAGGCTCATTTCAAGAAAACAATAATATGAATTGTTTTCTACTAGGTTCTAGTATTTTTTTTTCCTTGATACTCTTCATGTTACTTGCTCATTTTATGTTCTTTTTGTTTAGATTAACAGAAAAGATCTCACTCACTTGAAGGTCTATGCTATTGATGTTGATGAAGCTGATGAGGTAACTTCCATTGCTTGTTATGTGAGACTTTTAAAGTTCCCTCGATTTTTTTCCGTCTGTATGGATATTTAATCTTGAATTGTGTCGGATCTCTTATAGCTTGATGATGCGTTGAGTGCAACGAGGTTACAGGATGGGCGAATTAAAGTTTTGATACATGTTGCAGATCCAGCTCGGTATGTACAGCCAGGGAGTAAAGTAGACAGGTATTGTTTGGGATTTAGTAACATGGATGAAGAACCACTCTTGGGTTATATTACTCATGTTCAAGATATTGAGGCATTTCTAATTTGTAGGGTGGCAATGAGAAGAGGGACTTCTGTTTTCTTGCCCACTGGTACTTATCCCATGTTTCCAGAGAAACTTGCTATGGAGGGAATGAGTTTGAAACAAGGAGAGGTTTGCAATGCTCTTACTGTATCTGTTGTTCTGGATTCTGATGGCTGGTAAGCGGTAAATTACATTTCTTGGATATGCTCTTTGTGAGATTTAATTTGCAATGCTCTAGGTTGTACTTGTATAAATGGAGCTTCAGGAACATTGAGGAGCAGATTAGGATATCATAAGTAATATAGGTACTTTGGATATCTTAAAGGATTATCTCTTATGCCATGTCTGAAATGGCTTTTGGTTTCACTTACCTAAGGTTTTACCTACAAATCTACAATGGGGAACTTTAAATAACTGTGTTGTATGTAGCCAACAGACACATTAGCCTCTGCATTGTTGGCCATTTGGAATTCACTGTAGTTTAAACCTACATCTATCAAAGTTCTCTAGATTATTGACCTGGTCTCTGGGCCTGTAAAAAATTGGCAACAATTGTTTTTACAAGTTCATTCTGTATTTTGAACGTTGGTGGAAATAGGAGAATATTCTCTTAGGTACCATTGTCTGTGATTCATCAACATATTGACCAATGGTACTTTTCTTTTACACGATTGGTTGTAAAAATGCTTATGAACTGAAGTGTCAAAAAGTTTTTTTTATTAACAAAGACCATTTTATGCCCTATGCTGGCATTGTAGCATTGCAGAATACTCTGTGGATAACTCAATCATTAAACCAACCTATATGCTGACCTATGAGAGTGCATCTGAGCTGCTTCATATGAACCTGGATGAGGAAGTTGAATTAAAAACTCTTTCTGAGGCTGCATCTCTTCGGTTACAGTGGCGTCGCAAACAGGTTGGTCTAAATATGCAATCAAATTAGATTCTAAATATGTGCAAAACTGTCAAGGGTAGAGTTTTGATCCATCTTCTCCCTCCTTTCTATACCTTTTACTTTCAGACATCCTTCTTGGATAATTTGCATTTTTCATTGAAAGGTATTCTCACTGATTATGCTAACAAGACTAGCTGCTGCTTTGCAATATGGAATCGTTGCTTTAGGTTCTCCACAACTTGATAGTTGTAAATATGTTATTGATATCTTTTGGATACATTGATGATTAGGAATAACAATAAAAACAAATGGATATTGTACATGTGCTCGTTTCTGAGAAACTGGTATACATAGACCTTTTCACTTATATGGTGTTTCTGCATGAAGGATTGTGCTGACTATATAAGGTTGTGAACTCTTTCTGTTTAATCACTGTCAAATCACTGATAATGCTTATAGTTTCACAAAGTAATGTGCTTGCATTCATGATTAGGTTTTGAAGTCTGGCTTTAGGGTGAAAGGATAAGTTTGTCAAGGCCTATATATTTAAGACCTGGTTGAGACAATCTATGTTATAGGCTAGTAGTAGCAAGGTTCTTGGGCTTTTCTTATTCTTGTAACATTCAAGTAGTATTGCATTTTTAGGGTGCAGTTGACACAGCCACGTTAGAAACTCGCATCAAGGTCCCTAATCCAGAAGATCCAGAGCCTTCAATTCACCTTTATATTGAAAACCAGGCTGACCCTGCAATGCGACTTGTCTCTGAGATGATGATACTTTGTGGGGAAGTTATAGCCACTTATGGCTCTCGCAACAATATTCCTTTACCCTACAGAGGACAGCCCCAGTCAAATATCGATGTATCGGCATTCGCACATCTTCCTGAAGGACCTGTCAGGAGTGCATCTATTGTTCGAATAATGCGTGGTGCTGAAATCGATTTCAGGAAACCTGTACGCCATGGAATCTTGGGACTTCCTGGTTACGTTCAGTTTACTTCTCCCATCCGTAGATACATGGATCTTCTTGCTCATTATCAGGTGAGGTTCTTTCATTCATGTCAATGCATTAACTTGTTGAGTTGATTTGAAAGTAAATAGCTGTTGAATGTTTTTCACAACTTCTGCTATCTTCTATAAACAGGGCAGGTCTGCAGTATTTGAACATCCATTTTACTTGTCATATGAGCCTATATGTTTTTTTAATGATATTCACACAATTTCTCTGGACCATGGGCTGTACTAGCTATAAACTAATAAACAATTGTGGACGCATGTAGGTCAAAGCAGTTCTTCGAGGTGACTCCCCTCCTTTCTCTGCTGGTCAGCTGGAGGGGATGGCATCACTAGTTAACATGCAAACTAGGGTAGTAAGGAGTCTCTGCAGCAGCAGTCTTCGATACTGGATAATAGAATTCCTAAAAAGGCAGCCAAAGGAGAAAAAATATCGTGCATTGATCCTCAGGTTCATCAAAGATCGGGTTGCAGCCCTTTTCCTAGTTGAGGTAAGGATGATTCATTCCGGTAACAAGTAAAGCATGTTCCACTTTAACCACTTCCTATTCTTCTCCCCCAATCCCCCACCCCCAACGTAACAAGGAGCAAAAGGAAAAGCAAAAGGGAAGATCCAAACACCCTAAAGTCTTTGGATTCTCAGGTCGCCTTTATGCTATGGGGGTTGAGCATGTTTATTTGTTAAACATTAGCGCATTCCTTAAGTATGCACTCTTTGATTCCTCGTCTCTCCATATAATATGAAATTCTAGTGTTTTAGCCATTTCCATTGCTTACACTGTTACACATTGTTGAGTGCTTCTCAACTGTAATATTTGGTTGAAGTAACAAGTCAAGCATTTAATGCTGTAGGTGGGGCTTCAAGGATCTGCATGGGTGTCTGTGGGAACACAGATAGGAGATGAAGTGCAAGTTAGGGTTGAAGAAGCTCATCCACGTGATGATATTATTTCCCTCAAGGAGGTTATAGTATAAGTGATATGAGAGGTTATATTATAAGTGATATGAGGTGATTGTTTTGAAAGAATTTTTATCACCAGAACCACCAATCCAACCCCAAACGATCCAAGTATCTTGTTCCTGACTAGATCCTCGCTGATGATATTGTTACGCTACAGAATGATCATTGCTCCTAATTTGTGCATGCAACCTCTGAAGCCTCAGGAAGTGCAAATTCTGGAACAGATCAATTGCAGTGTCAAAGGACGATCCGTACAGGCATTGCCCTTTGCAGCAGTTACAGTCTGCATTATAACCTCCAATTGACATATCTCTTCAGTTATACTCATGGGAATTCTATAATCTGACAAGCAGAAATTGGCTCAAGAACTTGTTGCTCATGTTGCGGCTTATAGTCTGTTTTGGAGATTTCGGACAACCGGCATAATTGGCGCATGTCTTGGGGCTAGCCTGCTTGTATCTTTTGTTTTGTTTTCTGAACAGAAAGAAGTTTGTCGTGATGAGTTCTAAATTTCCTGTTATCATTCATGACAGTTGTGGTAAATATCCTTAATGTAGCAATAGTTTGAGCCATCCCCCATATTTACCATTGTGTTGATCCCGATTGTTTCTTTTTACATGTTACGCTAAAAACCTGTATGTTGACGATATATTGGGTTTGCCTGGACAATGTGTCGGTGTTTAAATTCAACTAAAGTCCATCCTACCAAATGCCAAGAACCATTGGATTGGCGATTTTGGCGATTAGCTATGCAAGAGGCGACGGAATATTTTATAAGTTGAAAATTTTTAATCCTCGCTGGACAACTTCGGATCACACGCACTTGCCTAAAATTGCTACGATAAATGTAATTTAAAAATGTTGGGGCAAAGAAATAAAGAATTTATTTCATAAGCGGTGCATATTTATAAAGTTAGCATGAAAATGGTTGGGCTATTGTATATCTAAATGACATGCAATATATGATTGATCTACTCTTTTTTTTTTTTTTTTTTTTTTTGCAAACGACATATATAGTTTTTAAAAAATAATCTAGTTTATACTTTAGCCTAATCATCTTCAACTTGTTTAATTATTGTGCATTTGATGATTTACTCATCTATATACTATGAAACAAGATAACATAATTTTAATTTCTATTTTTTCTAGTATTAAGGTAAAAAGTTATAATTTTTTGCATGTCTAGATTAATTTACAGAGAATTTATTTATTTATTATATATTTTTATTATGTAATTTTGTTCATTTTTATGTGGCGAAACAACAATTTAAAACTCGTTAAGTTAATAGTTGAAACTGAATTTCATTCAAAATACCTAAACATTATAATGGATGATTTTTTCTCGACTCTATGCATTGCAAATCTATTGTTTATTTATTCAATGTGAAATGATTTTTTAATTGTTCATATTTTTTTCCATGGCTAAACAACAATTTTTTCTTGCATCCTAGTCCACAATTTGAGAGATAATCATATTGGAATTGAGTTTCATTCAACAATTATGGCTTGGATTGGATGGGTCTTGAAGTTTTAACTACTCTATATATATATATATATATATATATATATATATATTATTTTCATAAAGTCCTAATTGAATATTTGGCTTTCACAAGTGAAACGGTATATAAAACTTTCTTCAAGCTCTTGCATGCTAGTTTTTGAGCACATTAACTATATCAATGCACAGATATTTTTTATTAAATGCGAATTTTTTAGTATTGTTGTGAATTTATTGTGAAATTTATTTATTTGATTGAAAAAGTTATTTGAGGTAAAAATATCATACGACATTTTTTATATGCAAGCTCTAGAGGAAAAATATTAAATTATGAAGATTTTGATGGTTGAATCATCTATATATTATGAAATTACAATAACATAACTTTAATTTCTATTTTTTTAGTGATTAAGGTAAAAAAATTTCAATTCATTGTCCATCTTAATTTATAATAGATTTATTTATTATGTGATTTTTAATATATATATATATATATATATATATATATATATATTACTTTTTTATATGCCAAGAACAAGAGGTATAATATGGAGTACGAAATAGTAGCATGTATAAATCTTGTCACATAATTGAGCTTTTCGTGGATAAATGGAGGAGGCAGATGGGAACCGGCGGAGACGGAGTTAGTGCTTTGGCTATGTAGAAAGTAGAAAGCCAACGGTAGAGTAAAACCGCTCTCATCAGGCTGTACACGCCAGTAGCTTCAAAAAAAGACAAAAGCCTTCAAGTGCATGTATCATATGTTATGTTTTTGTCAAAGAACTTACTAGAGTTTTCTATCCACGTAAATGCATTAAAATATTATCATTTAACTTTTGGACTACATTATATCCAATTTTTCATGAAAAAGAAATAATAAAACCGAGAGTGAAAACTAGCTCCACCAAAGTTAAAATTTGATACAATATGTCATAATTAAATTGCAAAATTAATCGATTAATAGACAGAATTGAGGTGCTATTATATTTTTCTCTCAGAAAAATAATTTCATTTTTCTTCTTTAAAAATGAATTAATATTTTACAGAAAGGCAAATCGGTTAAATCAACAATCACATATATTTAAATAGAAGTGAAAATATTTAATTTAAATTGATTTAAAGGCCATGTAGATAGGGTCTAAAGTATTTAGGTGCTATTTGATAATTAGGAATAGAGTGGTGAGAATAAAAATTGAAGTTTTATTCCCATATTGTAGTTGTTTGATTAAAAGGAATGAAGCGGGAATGAGAATGAAGAGTGGAAATAGGAATAAAAATTTACACATAACTTCATTCCCATATAAAATATGAGAATTAAAAATAAGGAATGGGAATGAATTTTTTTTCAAAATAATAATATATTTTATTTATTTATTATCTATTAACTATTTTTGCCACCACCACCACCACCACCACAACTACTATCACCACCACCACTATTACAATAACCACAACCACCACCACCACCACCACCACCGTCATTACGACCACCACCATCATAACTACAACCACCGCTACCATCACCGCAACCATCGCAATCACTATCATAACAACCACCATCACCATCAACACCACAACCACTACCACTACTAACATCATCACAACCATCATCACTATCGCAATTATTATCGCCACCGCCATCACTATTAATAGAACCACCACAATCACTACTATCACCTTTATTATTTTTATAACTATTATAGTTTAATAAAATTATTTTTTAATCATTATTTATATTTGTATACAAAATCGGATATTAAAAAATTTAAATTGCATTCGATTCCTTATTAGTATTCCAAACACAGTATTGGAATACAAATATCATTCCGATTCCTTAATTTTCATTCTGATTTCTGCATTTTCATTTTCATCACTTTATTTCTGATTAACAAACAGCACTTTAAAGTAAAGACATGCATGTGAACAAAATTAAAAATAAAAAATAAAAAAAGTAGTAGACATACTTTCACCAACATACGCAGAAAAATTTGTTTTCCATTTGTGAGAATGAGGATATATATATATATATATATATATATATATATATATATATATATATATATATATATATATATATATATATATATATATATATGTGTGTGTAAGTTAAAAGGCTAGAAGGATAAAATGAAATGTTTAATAAATAAAAAGAAATTCAAATAAACTTTGAGCAAAGTTGTCAAGTGGGGAGTGAGGGGGAGTTCGCGTGAGGCTCGAGATGGGACCCACTTACGGTTATAGGGGCGTCGTCGCTATGCTAATCAGCTAAGGCAATGGGACTAGCTATATACGGACAAATGGTCCCCACCTTTTACGGGTTTGGATCTATTGTTCTTTCTTACTTTTCCTTTATTGTTCGTTCTTACTTTTCCTTTATAATATTTTGTTGGAGTGCGTCTCCATTCAAACAGCGGCCTCTTCTCACAGGCAGAGTTTTTTTTTTTTCCCTTCACTTTCTTCCTTCTTCGATTTATTAATTTTGAACTCTCCGGTCTCCACATTTTTATTTTGATGAACAAATTCAATATCCAAAGTGAAAGTTATAACTAGTAACGAAACGAAAAATGTAAAATAGTAATTAAATCGCAGCCATCGGTCAGGTACTGCTTGAAAAACAAGCAAATATCTGTCCAACTTGGTTTTCTCCATATATATATATATATATATATATTGTGTGCGTGTGTAAGACGTGTTATTGAAAAGGGTGCATGGCATATCCACATGATTAAGTGGAGAAGAAACTGAATTTCAAAAAAAAAAAAAAAGGAAAATAACAATAATAATTTAATTTGAACAATATTTAGTTAATTGCATACAGAAAAGTTAAATTATGATTCTTAAACCGATTATTAATAAGAGAGCAAAATCAGTAATTCAATCAACCTGCGGTTAGGGCTTCCCTTGATCCACCTTCCCTAGTATTGCTTTATTTATTGAAGGTTCAAGTTGCCCCAAACTCTGACCAAACAGAATTAATACGAAGTGTGCCCACGTGTAGTGCTCATGGATTTCTATTGGTGGGGACAAGTGATTCTTAAAAGTTAATGAGAAAGAGAAAAATTTTATAATACCTAAAACGTAATTATTGATATATATTATTGATATTTTATAGATATATATAAATTAAAAAAATAAAAAAATAAATTAATATAAAATTTATTATTATTTTTTTTATAAATTTAGATATAATTTTATATGTCTATCCATTTTTAAAAATAAATCAATAAAATAATAATTATATATTTAGTTATTTTTTATATTATAAAATTTATCAAAAAAAAAAAAAAAAGACTTTAATTGCACAACATGAATCGAGAGAGAGAGAGAGAGAAACAAAATTAGCAAAAATCATTAATTACACATAGTTGGAATTGTACTAGCTGCAGCAGCAAATTTTTAGAGTTGATTCCCTTCCCTTACTACCCACCCATCGTCCATAAATACCCCCACCTTCTTACGGTTTCCTCATTCGCCCCTCCATCTCCCACAGACACACCCAGAAAAAAAGACTAAATTACTTCTCTCAATGGCTCATCATCAAGTGGGTTTGCTCTACATTGTGTTTCTCATCTCTCTCTTTGTGTTAGCTCATGCGAGGATACCTGGAGTTTACTCCGGTGGGCCTTGGGAGAGTGCTCATGCTACTTTCTATGGCGGCAGTGACGCCTCTGGAACTATGGGTAACTCCTGTCCTTGCTTTTAAAAGTTGAAACTACCCCTGTTCTGATCTCCGACTCTCGCTGATGTGAGCTGCAACTCTTTATAACGAAGAATACCACGAAACCCTCTTTAAACCTTTTTTTTTCCTTTCTCCCTCTCTTGTCCTTCAAAAAGTTAATTTACTTCTTTGGAAAAAACAAAAAACAGTAGCGGGTCATCTATACAAAGGAAATGTCATATTCAAACCTGTAATTGAGCAAGCATTGATGTTGAATTCTTCGATTTTGTTTGTTTCATAATAAATCTTGTGTATGTATTTCATATTTGTGTTCAGGAGGTGCGTGTGGGTACGGGAATCTGTATAGCCAAGGATATGGAGTGAACACAGCAGCATTAAGCACGGCGCTATTCAACAACGGGTTGAGCTGTGGGGCTTGCTTCGAGATTAAGTGCGCAGATGATCCAAGATGGTGCAACCCAGGCAGCCCATCCATCTTTGTAACCGCCACTAATTTCTGTCCTCCTAACTTTGCTCAAGCCAGTGATAATGGTGGTTGGTGTAACCCACCTCGTCCTCATTTTGACCTGGCTATGCCTGTGTTCCTTAAGATCGCACAGTACCGTGCTGGTATTGTCCCTGTGGCTCATCGCCGGTGAGTAATCTGCTACCTTTATTTTGTTTCCTGTCTTTTTTCAATGCTTTGCGTGGGCCAGATTCTCTTCTTTTCTTAATACGTGTCATTTCCAATTTTTTATTTTTTATTTTTTATTTTTTTTATTTTTTATTTTTTATTTTTATGTTGCAGCGGTTGGACTACTGTTACTTTTGGTTTGTATTATTATTTGATTTATTTAATAATGCTCTGTTTGGAAGATTTGAATCCATAGGTTTTACTATTATTATTATTATTACTATTTTTTTTTAATAGACACGATGAGTTAGTCCTTCTTGTTTTAAAAATTAATTATTTAATTTTTTTCAATTTATTTTGATTTTGATTTTTTTAAAAAAACAATAAGTAAAAAATATGAAAAGATTATTAGAAAATATAACATTTTTTTAAAATAAATTAATATTGAATTAAGTATGATAATACTAATGAAGAAATTAAATAATTAGTTTTGAAATAAAAAAATTAATTAATTTTTTTTAATTTGGTTTTTTTGAAAATAGGAAGACTAATCTATAATTTACTCCCTTCAAATGCCGCTTATTAATTTTAGCTTTTTTTTCCAATTTTTTGTTTTTTTAACTAGTAGTAGTAAATACTGGGTGCTTGTATTTTTTTAATTTATTTGTAAATTTGATTGTGCTATAGATCTATCTATATTTGCATTTCCTAGAAAGCAGACTGCAAAAGGCGAAGGCCGTAATAAACAAGAGTTGGATCGTATTCCCAGTCTGCCTTTTCACGTCTTGTTTGTAGGTTCTTCTAAACAGACTACAGTTTTTATCGATGAATCGTGAAGAACCTTAATTTATTTATGGCACACAAACACAGATGACATAATTATGCCGGAAAAATGAGGGTAGAAGCGACAAATCACACTCGCATGAATGCATATGTTTTTGGGACATTCATTTAATACCGTATATCTTATCGTATTTTGGTGGGTAAATGGTTTTTGGTTTTCAGGGTAGCATGCAGGAAGCAAGGAGGCATCAGATTCACAATCAACGGTTTCCGATACTTCAATCTGGTCCTGGTGACCAACGTGGCGGGTGCTGGGGATATCGTGAATGTGTGGATCAAGGGCTCAAAGACTGGTTGGATGAGCATGAGCCGTAACTGGGGACAGAACTGGCAATCCAATGCCGTACTTGTGGGCCAGTCGCTTTCTTTCAGGGTTAGAGGTAGCGATGGCCGCACCTCTACTTCTAAAAACGTGGCATCACCTAATTGGCAGTTTGGTCAGACCTTCACGGGCAAGAATTTCCGCGTCTGAGTTTTCTTTTTGTATAATTTTTGTTTTTCTTTTTCACTTGTTAGTAATTTTTTTTTTTAAAAAAAAAAACTCATGCTACTGCTGCCAGCACTGCAAATGTCTGTTTCCCGCCTTCAGTTTTCCTTTATTTTCTCAGGAAAACTTGAAGAGCTTTGGGGTAAAGAAGCAGGTCAGGTCGTGGGCCTGGGAATAATTAAAATTTGGGATTTTGGGTAGGACAAGTAGCTAGCTAGCTAGGTCATTCGGCTTTGACTCTTTTTTATTAAGAGTGTAAGGCAACTGTGTGTTTTTAAAACCAAGTTTGAGGACCAGTGGAGCTAATATATAATTAATGGTAAAAAGGCAGGGAGGGCTGAAGCGGCTGCAGTAAGGAACATGTAGCCCGCAGCTCCTGCTTGATTTATGTTTTCATTTCATCTCTATAACGTTACTAGCTACCTGCTATATAATTGTGTTTTTGTCGGTTCAGCTCTATGATTCCATGTGTAAATGTTGTTGGAATTGCAGATTGCACCAAAATGATGCTGTCTGGAAATAATAATGACCACTTAAACGCTAGATAGACAGCTACGGATGAATGAGGCACTCTGTGTCGCTGACCAACAATTTATCTAATGCAATGAAACGTTACATTAATATTGTACTCCTAAAAAATGATGGGCTGCTATCTATCCTATGACCAGATCATGCAATGTATAAGGCACAAATAAAAAGAAAAGCAAGAAACAGTCGATCGTATTGGGTGGAGAAACTTGATGTTAGTTTGGAGTAAATTAGGGTGTTAAATTGCAACAACCGTTCCTCGAATTGGAAATAAGATCAAGATGATGAGATTCATTCATGAAAGTAGACAGGCCCACATGTCGGTGGATATGCTCGCAACTCCCCATGTGCCTTACCACTGATACTCATCAGTGGTTGTTTAATTCTTGTCTATTTATTTTTCCTTTTCCTAGCTGGCTCGTAACCCGTCGCATACGTTATGAAATCTAGTGCCTTCTTTTCATTGTGCCTCTTCCTCATTGCTTTGCCCATGCATCATCTATCTTCGACTACTCCTTCCTATTCCCAAAGCAAAGCTAGCGCGTAGATTATCTGTTTCCTTTGCCTATATCGACTCCTTCACTTATATAAGCTGTTTTTTTACTTAGTTTTGCCCGTATTGAAATCCGTATAATTCAAATTTTTTATTGAGATTTTAATTTTAATTTTATCTAATTTAAAAATTTTATTATTATATATATTTTTGTTTTAAATCTTAATGTGTCATGTAAACACACGTGATAAACTATAATCAATAATAACTTATCACGTGTTATAATGATTTAAAATTGAGTAATTAAACCGATGACGTGATAAGTTATTATTGACGAAAATGTATATGTAACAAGTTATCATTAATTAAGATATGAAACAATAACAATATAGAAGTAAAACTTTTAAATTATACAGAAAAACATTTAAAAGTCTCAATAAAAAAATTTAAATTATACAAACTCTCGATATATGTAAAATTAATTTTTTACTCTTTTGTTTCTAATTCATTAACTAATAAACACTCAATGTTATGTTCACTGTACATACTCAGTACTAGTATTCGTGATTATTGATGCGTACTCACCTTCAGTCTCGGCAAGTCGATCGATAATTCAAGAAAGCAGCATTCTTGGATGTTCATTAAAGAAGGAAAAGAGAAATGCTTAGGTGTATCAGGCCAAGTTGGCTCTTAATTTGTAGTCTATTCATGCACCCTTTGATTTTGAATTAATACGACTTGATTCACAGTAAACCATACCTGGAAATAAGTGACGATCGTTATTTCCCAAACTGTGAACCACATGGCTTAGCACATCATTTTTCTGTTGAAGTAAGCTAAATAGCTAGCCAGCTGGCCAAACCAATCCACATGGAAGGAATTAGGAAAAATGCTTCATGCAGGAAAACCATGGGAATTGGATTAATTAGTGTAAAAAATAAACCAATCAATTAGGTTTGTTTGGGCAAGAAGCAAGATGCCTCATAATTTCACATGCATTGTTTTCCCACAAGCTAGTATATATCCAGTTAACCACTAGGAATTGACCCAACCTCAGAGCAAACCGATCACCAGCAATCAAAAGATAACCTATCTTAGGCTGTCGATTATACCATTTTTTTTTCCACTCAGTGGGAATCTTGGCACCCATAAGGTTACACGTGGTGGTCATATATGAGATGACATCATCATGACACTAGGCCGGTGTTCGGCTATGTTAAGATACCCGTTAAACCCCAAAAGAGGCAAACGACCATGTCTGGTTTGTGATCAAAGAATGGCATTTGTACCTTATCAACTATAACTTTCGTATATATCATGAAAAATGAACTTTCGGCTAGAAAACAATAGGTAAGGTGGGACCGACACCTTCACATTTTCTTCCTTGAGCAATTGGCAGAAGTTTTGTTAACAATTCTATCTTTCCGATCAATTAATTAGCTTGTCAACAAAAATCCTTCAGCCCCTATCCTCATGTTGACTTGAATGTATATGTTCCCAGCGGTATACCACTTAAAACAGCCACTCCGAGGATTATAGCTAGAGACATGATAATGGAATTGGAATATATGTCTTCAGATAATGTTCATGTCAATTTGTACGCAAATTTATGCTAATGCTCCTCAAATATTATATATTGAATTTGATAATTGATTTAAAAGATTTAAATTGTAGGAGGTGGTTCATTTTCAATTTTATATAGTTTTATTTTTAACATTCCTTAGTCTTCCTCACGTGTGTTTCATCTTTTTAAGACCATCAAGTGGAGTGTATGCTAATGCTAATCCTCCTCCTCACTTATGTGTTATTTATTTTCAATTTTTTATATCACTACTTTGTTCTCTTGTATTTATGGGGCATGAGATTATGCTTAATTAATTTTGCCAGAGCTTAATTTCCGCCAGAAATGGCATATTAAGTCCATCTCACGGGGGTCACTTGTTAATTTTGGCTCCGAAATAAATAAAGGGCTGTCAATATGGATGGCAAATTGGCAACCAATAAACCTTAATTAGTCAGGTTTTTATTACAATTATCCATATCAATTCTCAAAACCAAAACCTAATATTCATATTCTAATTAATTTTTGCATAACTTTATCTCCCGATTGAACAGGTTCAGGTTAGAATTCGAGTGAAATAACCAAGTGACAAGGAAATTAAAGTAACCGTGAAATGAAACTGGAAATTAAAAATTTCAGAGTGTTTTCTAACTCATCTGGTAAAAAATTTAAGCGTATACCTATATCCAACCTATTGGATTTTGGCTATTTATTGTGTGTTTGTATATATTATTAAATGACAACTATAAATATTTTACATATATAAATGTATATGATATTACTATTTATTTCAGGTTTGGTATCAATTTTCCTCTCCATTAACTAATGAACAAAAAGTTTGAATATTTATATTTGATCCGAAAAAATAACAATCCATAAAAAAGAAAAAAAAACCTCATTCATTTGAGATGGACTTCCATCAAATTCAAAACCTTTATTTAAACTTACTGTATCTAATTTTTCAGATCCGTAGATACATAACTCTCGTATGAAAAAACAATAATAGCTATTCATTAGATCTAAAAAGATCATAAATGACCATAAAAAATAAACAAACGAATAATTAAAAAAAAAAAAAAAAACGGTTGCCGTTGAAAAAATATTTGTGGGCTTTTTTCTACAAGGGGCCCAAAATGGTTGAATAGAAAAAGCGCCGTCTGTGGGGATCGAACCCACGACCACATGGTTAAAAGCCATGCGCTCTACCTCTGAGCTAAGACGGCTGTGACTGGTAATAAACTAATTATTTACGTGATGATATTTATTTGTTTCTCCACTGTAAATTAATAATAAAATTAAGAATAATGCTAAACATCAAGGAAAAAACTCCAACAATACACATAGACCGTTGGATCATGATCTTAAATCACATTTCAAAACTATGATTCAGCAATCCTAGGGATTTTTTTTCGGTCATATTTTCTTGATGTTTAACATCACTTTTTTTATTAATGATCCTTCAAAAACAGTCTTTCCTATTCTACTTATAATTTTTTTACATGATCGCAAGTATAAACCTACAAACAATCTACGGATACTGAGAAATTATAACATTCATGTCAACGAATTCCCTCTTTCGAGCTGCAGAATAGGATGACTGAGTTAAACAGCAATGAAAGACTGTCAAGATCAGCAACATGTATCCAATCCGGTCATTAAGAAAACGGCAATGGGAGCTCGCGGCAAAAGAGATGGTTTAAAAGAGAGAATTTGTAATTCTTATTGATCTTCACAACGTACAGGGAAGATATTAACATCTAATCCATTATCTATGAATCATATTAAAATGAATAAGATGATGTTGAACATCATTATTTATGTTCTCTGGAAAGACTTGAAAGTAAGAAAGAGTACAATGTGTATGTATGAATACTAATTCCCAGCTAACTAAATGTTGATAGCAAGCAGATCTCTTCGACCAATAGTCATATTTTGAATTGGATTTATCTACTATCTCAAAACTCTGTTCGAGCTCAATAAGAAGTTTTCTTCACCTGCAATCGTAGAATGGAGCCTTCCTGCAGCCCAACCATTATTCATAGCACGAGCAGCAATGCGAGCTGGATCACCAGCCACCCGACTTCCCTCAACTTGTTTTTCATATACTGGGAGACCACCTGCCTTCCTCTCTTGTCTTCTTTTCCTCTCGTCATCTCTTTCTTTCCTCAGCCAGCTCTCCACTGTTCTCTATAAGTAGAATTTTCATTAGGACATCACACATTGTAAGAGGATTTATATTCCGTAAAAATGAAAAACATTCAACAAGTTAGAAGGTTGGATCAGAGAATTAGACACGGCAACTAACCATCAGTGACAAATTACTAATCTCCTTTATTTTGGCCATTGGCATTGCTAACTGCAGCTTCCCCTGAGCAATGTACACCTGCAAAAGATGAACCGATTGGACATCGAGATAGGCAAGCATTATATGTATGCGTGTTGAACCATGAAAGAAATCAAGACATACAATATGTGTTGGCCACTCCTCTAAACCATCAAATATATGTGTCGCATAGATGATTGTAGCACCTCGTTCTTCACATTCCTTTCTTAGAAACTTCAGAAGGTCAGCCCTTGCTAGCACATCGAGGTCAACCGTAATCTCATCAAGAAGAAGAACCTAGATAAACAAAGACGTAAAGTTATCCTCAACGGAAGAAAAGATATCCTCAACAAACAAGAACTTGCCCAAGTGAGATGTTAAAAGCATTCATTATAAAGGAAACTTATAATATTAGCAAGAGATGATGCAAGAAAAAGGGGTACCTTGAATGGTCTCAGGAGACCCATGCAAATTTGCACTCGCCTTCTCTGACCATCAGAAACCTTGTGCATCCTCCATGACAGATCAATGTCCAGTACCTATCCAATCAAGATAATAAGTTGAATCCTTAAAGTGACATTAGCACACCTCTAGAGGTGCGGGAGATTGGGCCAGATCCAGAGAGAGAATAACGTTGAGATTTTTCCACTGCTGCCAATGGAACACACCTAAAGAACTGGTTACCCAGAGATGCAACTTGAATAAATTGAAACTTACCTTAATTAGTTCAGCTCTTCTTTGAGGATCAATACCTGCTACCCCAAATATCATCTTCTCTGCAGAAATATCCATTTGTATAGGAACCTCAAAACCAGCAAAAGCAACTTCTCGCCTCCACTGCAAAAGAAGACTTGTCAACGGATAAGACTTAGAAAATGAAAAATCTCAAAATCCAGATAAGTAGTTTTTATCGAAACATCCCACAAATTCCACAGTATAGTAAATATGAAAGGAATAATCATTGCAATGCAATAAAAGAATGTTTTTTACCTCTTCCAAGGATCAGATTAACTTATACACTAAGACATTACTGGAAGGAGATAATGTTCCTCGTTGTCTTATTTAAAACAAAGAAATAAAACACTAGCATCCAAAATTTAAATCAAACAACAAGTATCAATTATAACAGCAAGTAAAAAAAAATAAAAAAAAGCCATGAATGACTTCTAACCTCTCCTCCAAGATAAGAAAGATGACCAGAAGAAGTTAAAGCAGTGTCGTGAAAAGCAGACCTTCCTAGCACACGAACCATTTGGGGTTCCACCATGTGTTTTCCTCCTAATATCTTCAGTATTGTAGTTTTCCCTTTACAACACAACACAACAAAGCAAACCCATTTTCCAATTACTATTTCAGTTTTTGCATAATTATTCTTCATACTATTTTTTGAAAACATAGAAAGAACGAACCAGCTCCGTTGGATCCAACAAGAAGACATCGATCACCAGAATTGAGGGTGAGAGAGAACTCATCGATCAACGGTTTAGACCCAGGCGGCGGGTGACCATCGATTCCTGGGTACGTGAATCTCAGGCCTTTAATATCTATTATTGGTTCTTCATGCTCCATCACACCCATCTCAACAATCTGAGAGAGCTGTCTCTGTATTTAACCTCTCCCATTGTCCTTCTTCTTCTCCTTCTTTTCCTTCAAAAAATTTGGGGAGTAATACGTGGCCAGTTAACAACCATCTATGAGTAAAACGGGTAGGTGGGTGGGTGGGTGGGTCTTATGGAATGAACGGTTAAGATGGATGCACGAGGGCAATTTAGGCAATTAAGACCAGTAGTATAACGTAGTAGTCCCTGTAATATAAGTAACTTATTAACTAGCCTTCACAGTTTCAGAAAGTGTACGTTTAATCCATACATCCTTAAAATTCCTTTGTAACTTCGCGTTCTTTTCCATTTTATTTTGGTTTTTTCTTATTTAGAAAATAAAAAAGAGAAAAAAGAAGCAGGTTAGATGGAAAAAGAAAGAAGGCACGTTTACTGTCTAGGGAAAAAAAAAAAAAAAGCTAGATCCATTATTTGCATTTTGTATTTTCAACAATTCATTAAAAAAAACCCCTTATTATCTATTTGTAATCAATTGAGCATCATTAGTTTAAATTAAAAAGGAAACTAGTCAATAGAAATAATGGGATGGATAATGATATTAATAAGAACAAAAGAAAAGTTGATATAATTAATCATGTAGTAATAAAAGGTACTTAATTGACTAAGATAAATTTTTAGTTTTAAAAATTATACTCAATTGATTGAAATTCAAAATATACATACTCAATTAACCAAATTGATAAAAAAAAAGAAGAGAATCTTTAAGGAATTGATTAAAATTAAAGATACATAACGCAATTAAGTCCTAAAAAAAATCATACTAAATTGAGGATGGTCAACTGTATTGAAACAGGGATTATTTAGTTATTATTTATACTACGAGGACTAAACGATTAGTTTTGATAAACTACTATGATTAGTTATGACTCAAGAACTCTGATCTCTAATGTCTCCCTTCTCGTCTTCTCTCTCTCTTCTTCTCAGGCTTAAAGAAAAGGAAAGGAATTGAACTGAATAAGGCTTCTTCTTTACAAAAAGCCTTTGGAAATGGCGGCAATTTATAGCCTTTACATCATCAACAAATCAGGTGGTTTGATCTTCCACAAGGTAAGATATTTTCTTTCCTTCAAATCGATTACAGGGGCATTTTGGGGTGTGATCTAGCTTGATTTAGTAAATGCTTGATTGGATCATGATCAGAAGCAATACAAATGATTGAATGATAATTATCTGTGATTTTTTATGCTTGGGTTTTTTTTGTTGCTGCAAATTTTGTTTGTTTTTTTAAATTAGGATTATGGATCTGCTGGACGGATGGATACGAATGATAGCTTACGAGTGGCAAGTTTATGGCATTCTATGCATGCTATCTCTCAGCAGTTATCACCAACTGTTGGCTGTTCAGGCATTGAACTCCTCGAAGCTGATACCTTTGATCTCCATTGCTTCCAATCACTAACTGGTTGCTACTTCAACCCTTAATTTTTTATTTTTTATTTTTTATTTTAACGCGCTTTTTTATCATACTATTGAAATGCTCTGTTTTTTACTACGTTATCAATTTTATTTATTTATTTATTTTTTAATGATAAGCCTGCCATATTATGCTTAATTGTCAATTTCTTTCCGCATTGGAACTTGGAACCATGCCAAAGCTATTATCAGCTAGCTGATTCTTGAATCCCAAATTGTTTTACAAGAAATACTGCTAGGTTCTGTTACATATGGATTATTGCGTGCTTTCAACATGGCCTGCCATTTCCATTTTTTTCCTAAATGTCGACCTGTGGCTGTTTTATGTTCTTACTATTATCTCAAGTCCATGTTTTTCAAACCATGAATTGTTGTTAGTGATAAAAGTCCTACATAGCTCTGTGAAAACTTTTGAATTTCAGATTTTCATTTTAAACCTATCTGGGTTTTTCTCCTTCCGCAGGGACAAAGTTTTTTGTGGTGTGCGAACCTGGAACACAGCACATGGAAGGCCTCTTAAAAGTCATATATGAATTGTACACGGACTATGTCCTAAAGAACCCGTTTTATGAGATGGAGATGCCTATACGGTGTGAGCTCTTTGACATCAACTTGTCCCAGGCAATACAGAAGGATCGCGTTGCTTTACTGGGCCGATGAACTTTCCTTGATTTTGCTTCAATAACTTTTGTTAGTTTTCATTTTCATTTGTGCTTCTACGCAGAGATCTTTCAAGTTTCTTGTATGCTTATCTTTGCCTTGATATATTCTGGAATCAGTGGTATGGAGTTTGTTTATGAACGTCCATCTGTGCAGGCTGTTGGATTTCTTATAAAGTATCTTTGCAATGTTGCAGAAAAGTGCATAGTTTGGCCTGCTTAAACATCTTTGCCCTTGGATAAGTTAGAGAGAGCAGCAATTCTAAATCGAGGTCTGTGTTTCAAAGCAGTCCCGATTGCAATAATTTCCGTAGGTATTGGCAAGCTGATGACCGCAAATTGAAAACGTGGGATCTCCTGCAATTTGGAAGCGAATGGAAAGAAATTGTGAAGCACATTTAGAGTTTGCATGCATTATCCGTATACTGTGAGATATATTCTTGGGATTATTTTGAAAACGTGCGAGTAATTCATGTTCCAAGCAGCAGGATGCCATTTTAAAGCCTGAAGATCTTCTGATTGATTGAGAAAACATGGAGAAAGAAATTTAATTTTCTTAAAATGTTTTTCTATTGGTTTAAGTTGACTGCACAGGTCTTCTGAGTGCGCAGAGGAGAGGAAATTGTCTCGTGCAAAAATGGTGACTTCGAAGATATCGGGTGATGAGACTGCTAGATAGATTAAGATGGCTCCTGCATGTCATATGTTCTTACTTCCAAGAGTCGTACAATCAAATCTCCAATAACACAGCAAGTGGAATTCAGAAATAAGCTCGACTATATTTCACATAAACTTCTGTGCATTTCTGCGGTTGCTTGCAAGAATAATAATATCGCAGCAACATCCGAATCTACGGGCATTTCATGATTCCGACTTCTGATTGCCAATAGACAAGGCATGAAAATGAAATGAAGACTTGAATAATTTATGCACAAAGCAAAGTAAAATCTGTACACTTCTTGAATAAGCATAGTTCTAGGACATGCATAAACTCCAAAATGCTTGTTCCACACTCTAAGACTGAGCATATTAACAAGTCCAAAAATTTCTCTTAAGCGTAAAGTGGGGAAGCAGAGGGCCTGGGATAAGCAATCCGTCCGTATTTGGAACCCCCATGAACTTTTGAACTGTGCTCTTTTTGTGTAACTTTTGGCACGTCCTTAACATGTTCTTGCAGCTGCTCTAATGCCATTACCACCTCATCCATATTTGGCCTGAACTTTGGTTCTGCAGCTAAGCATTGAAGTGCAAGGTTAGCAAGCTTTTGGGCCCGACTGAGTGAATATTGGCCTTCAAGACGTGCATCCAGAACGCGGAAAACTCTACGCTTGTTTGTCAGGTAAGGTTTTGCCCACTCCACCAGGTTATGCTGGCCAGATGGCCGGTTCTTGTCTATAGCCCGCCTACCAGATAACATTTCCAGAAGCACAACTCCAAAGCTGTATACATCGCTCTTTGTAGTCAAATGACCTTCTCAATTTCAAAAAAAGTAAATAATTATCAGAAAAGAAGATAAGTCTATTGTATCATAATAGCAGAAGAAGGATTGCAGCAGAACAAAGAGATTGCATTAGCAACGCCAGAACCAATGACATGGGGATTGCATGCAAACTGTAATTTGTTAAAGATGAAATGAGTGCAAATAAACGAAGATACATATAAGTAAACACAGTAAATTGATGCAATTGGCAAGCCAAACAGGCTCATATGATGAGAAACCACAAACGGAAAATAGTACCTGTGGCTATATACTCTGGTGCTGCATATCCCTGAGTTCCCATGACCCTAGTAGATACATGACTCTTATCGCCAGTTGGCCCATCCCTGGCTAGACCGAAATCAGAAAGCTTTGCATTGTAGTTCTGCAAATATAGAGCAAAAAAGGCAGCCCAAATTATGTGTCTGAAGCTAAATCTCAACAAATACAGCCATATTACCAAAAAAAAAAAAAAATGATAAGCAAGAAAAAAGAGAAATGACAAGAAAATGCTAGCCAGGTGCATACCAAATCAAGCAGGATGTTAGAAGTCTTGAAGTCACGATATATGACTTTTGCTTCAGCACTGTGAAGAAAGGCAAGCCCCCTTGCAGCACCAAGTGCAACTTTCATTCGAACGTTCCAGGAAAGTGGCTGGAAGTGAGACCCTCCTGTTTTTCAATTTATTTAATGCTTTAATAACATATTATAAATAAGGTGCAGTTGGTATGGGAATATGCTGCTCTTCAGAAAACAGACACGCCAAAAGTGGCAGTTAATATAAAGAACATGAGTAACTCACTCCTGAATAAATGATTTTCCATGCTGCCCCGGGGCATGAACTCATAAACCAGAAGGCGATGGTCATCCTCTAAGCAGTAACCGATCAACTTAACAAGGTTAGGGTGTTGAAATTGCCCAAGATAGTTGATTTCTGCCTACATGTCCAAAGGTACAACAGAAATTAAATTTAAGCTCATGGGTTTTCAAACATTCTATGTGAGGAAAAATGGCACTAATTCACTAAATATTAACATGGAAATCAGGCATTAGGATATGTTTCTTATGATATCATAAATGCAGAAGTAACAATTAATGCTGGTCTCACAAACGTCATCAAATAGCCAAAATTAGCAACAGGGGGCCTTTTGTCTACCATAAAATGCTATGGCCTGTATGCATATATATCCTACAAATCTAAATGGAAGAATAATAATTGATCACCAAAAACTAGTAAAAAGTTAGAGATTAAAATCATATTACTGACCAGCCATTCCCTATGACCCTGGAACCCTTCTTGGTTTAGTCTCTTCACAGCAATCACCACACCAGTACCCGGCCTGCTAGCTGTAAGTGAGTGCTCATCAACCCAACCTTTAAAAACTGACCCAAAACCACCTTCTCCTAATACACTGTCTGGTCGGAAATTTCTGGTGGCAGTCTTGAGCTCACTGAAGGTAAAGGTCTTCAAATTCGAAGACTGCAAGATTTCACCCTCACTCCGAGGTGTTTGGGGTACAGAAACCAACGAGACCTTACTGCTAGAACCACTTAAACTTTTCCCATCTCTGCTTCCATATTTTGAATTCAAACCTGCAAGCAAAAAAATGGAGTTAAAACATCTTCAACACTGAATTGGTAAAATTGCCACAACCATTTTTTAAGTTCGCCAAGAGCACAACAAGTAGAGGCATTGAAGAATTAGCGAGTTTGTTTCTAACAAAGCATCTTCTAAAATTCAAGTTCATCACTTTTTTAATGTTATTTTTCTTAATATCAAAACCATCATCACATGGTAATTGTTCGTTTATTACGAAGAAAATTTGAAAAATTGTTATAGACTATCGATGGAACACACACATATATATCCAGGTTATCATTTATCTAAACAAGTTTATTTTGAAAACAAATGCTAAAGAAAGAACCAAAAAAGTAAACCTTTGAACTTATATGTCAAAACCCATGTCAACAGTGAACATCTGCGGTTGCTAAATGAAGACAAACACATACGGACGACTAACAGAGCAAGAATAAACCTGGATCAAGCATTCGGTAAGAAATTGATCCTCTACTACTTGTTTAAAGAAAAAGAAAAGAAAGGTAGGTGCCTCATACCTGTATTAGAAGAAGTATATGCCTTGATTCGATTACTCCAGCAAAGTCCCATCAAAACAGAATCAAGAGATCAACTTTTCGGCTTAAAGATGGATGAAATATTGAAAGACGATAAATATGAGCCCAGGCAAGTTGGTTTGGTCTGGTGTATTCAACGTTTGGGATTTTGGATTGCGATAAACGCAAGGGCAAAAAACAAAAAAAAAAAAAAGAGAGTCTGTGATGTTGGGATTGATTATTATTGGCCTTTTTAGACTCTCTCAGACGCCAACCATGGATGGTTGACTGACTCTTTACTTTTTTTTTTTTTTTAACTGTTATTTATTTCACTACCAATTTGTACCAACAAACAACAAAACAAAACCGTCTTCTACATAACCATATTTAATATTTTTTGCCAGCCAGCCAGCCAGCCACGAATGCAGTCTTCCCTCTCTCATCGTTACCGTTGCTTTTTACGACACTAAAATTCTCAATGATTAGTCCAATATTAGTGTGAGTGCTCGAGCTTCGCTCCGATAAAATTTTAATATGGTATAGTAATTAGATTTTTTATAAATCCACGTTATACTGTAAATTAGATAAAATATATAAAATTATTTAAAAAAATTATTTTAGTATAATAATTTATTTTATGATAAAAAATAATTATAATTTTTTAATCAAAATTTGTATTTAACTATTTCTTATTTGTGTTTTTAAATTTTAGAAATAAATAATAAAGAAAATAAATTATTGGTTTCTTTAAAATTTTAACACTCAATTAATTGTTGATTCTTTTAAAATTTTAACACCAAAATATTGTTAAGAAACGAAACTAAAAAAAATTCAATGTTTAAGGAAAAAAAAAGGTGCAAGCCTTTTACTTGTTTATGTAAACAAGAAACGTGACGAAAATTTAAAAAAACATTCAGTGTTTATAAAAAAAAAAAAAAAGAGGAGTGAAGTCGTTTATGAATAGTAAACGAATTTTGGGGTCGGGGGGGGAGGGGACAGCGAGTCCGGCCAAAAAAATAATAATGAAAATTAAAAAAAAAACACACTATAGCAATGAACAAGTGATTTACACTCGTTCGTTGCTATAGTGAAAACCCGTTTTTCTTTAGTATATAGGATAATGTGTGTATTTTACCGTAGTAGTTTTTTTTATTAGGTATAGTTTTTAATTTGATATAAGTTTTTCTATATGTTATTATTTTTATTTGGTACTATAAAATTTATGAATATTATTGCGTGTCAAAATTTAACATAATGTAAAAATTTTAATTATTAACTAAGAAGTATATGTAGATTAAGCTTTAAAATAGGTGAAAAGTTTTAATTGTACACTAAAAAACATAAATAGATTGATTTGTAAGTACAACAATTTTAATTATTGACTAAAACACATAGACATATTTGTTTTTAGC